GAAATATTTGAGGAACTAGACTGAGAATCCGAAAAATCTGTTTTAAGTAAATCAATCCAAGAAGCTTGTTGTTTTTGTTGCTGGGCTAAAAATTTAAAAATAATTTCTAATTTTTCTCAAAATTATCGGCAAAAACTAACAAGGAAATTCTTTTAATTCCTCTTTTGGTTTATTAATTTTTTGTTGTATTTCCTCTTCAATTAATGCATGATTTGTAGACTCATTGCACATATTTAAAGGTATAAGGACATCTACAGGCACTAATCCATTTGAGACTGCATTATCACACAAACTTAAATGATTTTTTTGATTAAAAAATTCTATTTTAAACAGCTAATTAAATTTATATCAGAGGGAACGAAATAAATAACCAAATTTAGGAACCTATAGCTGTGAATGGCAGTTGGGTAATGTTATAAAGAGAATAATGGCACGACATTAAAAAATCCAAAAATCCTTATATTTCACCCGATTAAAAATTAATTTCATTAAAATTCCCCTCTAATTCAAAACCTCGTGATAAGTAATCAAAATAGGTAAAACTAATTAAATTTATTTAAAATAACTAACCAAAATCCATCCTGTCGATGTTCTTTAACCAAAACTAAGTCCCCCTGTTTCAAAACCATTTCTGAATTTTGCCAATCACGAGTAACTTTCCGTAATTGTCCAGATTGGTTTTGGGTATGACAAATCTTGAAAAGTGCGTCTCTCTCTTTTTCACTTTGTTGTCGTAAACGGGAATTTAAGGAAGAAATTTGTTGTTGTTGTGATGATGATATTTTCTTTTGATTTGCTGATTTTGCACGAAATGAAAGACGTAAAGATTTTCCTAAAAATTAAAATTATTCCGTAGATATTAAAATCTCAAAAAAATTTCACTTCTAGCCAAGAAAGGTGCATTTTCTGCAATTGTTTGACGTTGATATAAATATGCTGCAATTTTGTCCATTTCTAACAAAACATTTTTGACAGAAACAGACAAATTTGTAATAAATGGAGGGACTGTATGAGCATAATGACGAACTTTTTCAGGTCTTTCTTTGTAATACCACTCATCCATTTGAGTTAAAAATTGTTGATGAATTTCATTTACTTTTTGAACTAGTTGGAGTACTTGAGTATTTATTGTACTTATAACACTTGGAAGTTGTCCTTTTATTTGATTATTTAAAGCTTCGAATTCATTTCTGCATTTTTCAACTTCATCTTGCTTAAATTTATTAAAAATTAATTTTTAAAAAATTAAAAAGAAAAATCAGCCTAAATGGACAAGATTTTTGGTTAATTAAGATAACCTTTGGATAGACTAAAGAACAAACCAAATTTAGCAAAAATACAAAAATGCAGAAAAATTTGCAACCCCAAAAAAATTTTTTATATGAAAAAATATAACAAACTTACATTTTTATTGCTAGCTTTAACCACTTCAAAATCAGCCAATTTATCAAAACGTTTGTGTATTAATTTGGTTAGTTCACTTCTCACAAGTCTCTTTCCTTCAACCAAAATTCTAAAAAAATAAATTTAATATCCACTGAGACTATTCGAAAAATATTTACTTTTGATCAAAATCCCTCAAATATTTTCCACAAATTTCATCAACCCTGCGAAGCATTTTTGCAAATTCTTTAACAACTTTTTCATCTTGAACTTGACAAAAACCTTTTTAAAAATAATTTTTTACAGTTAAATTAATAGAACCTTTATAACTGTCTTCATGTTTACGTGCAGCCAAAGCAATATGTTTTCTATAAAGTTGAGCACAATAAAGAAATTTACAAAGTCGACGTTCAGCGTCTTCTAAAAGTTGAACTAAATAATCGAATTCACTATCTCGAATAGTTCCAAAACCCATTGTTCGATTTATTCGATATTTGAGCCGATTACTTTTCTTTAATAATGAATGCATGTTTATACGAGCGAGTCGTTCAGAAATGGTAAGTTGTTCTTGAGTATTGTATTTTCGAACTAAAAAATAATGTTAATTTATTAAAACAACAGTACTCTTAAGAAAACAATTTTAAGAAAATAGACACCGAAAGCAGGTCTTCCGCAACAGCGGAATACGGACAAATTGCATTATTTTTTGCATGTGCGGATTGCGAGCTTCAAAATTGAAATGCGGTTACGTACAAAATTTTTGATTACAGGAGCCTAATTGAAAGACATGAATGTGGGATTGCACCACAAAAAGAAAAAAATGAAACAAAGGATCTCTGTTCATACTAAACAAAAAATAATTTACCTAATTCTTTCCTTCTTTTAGATTCATTCATTCTAGAAGCCAAATCCCCCAATTGTCTCAAAGCCTCCATCAACTTTGGATGATCCGGATGATTTATTGGAGTATTTTTTAATAATTCCCCAATATAAAGAGGATATTTTAAGCATCTTTGAATTGGTCTAGAAATAGCTGTAGAAACATCAAAAATATTTGAACCACGTTCTCTCATTTGTTGAACGCATAATTGAAGTGCTCGATTAAAATTAGAATTATTTTCATTTTCTATCATTAAATTAATATTTTCAACACTTCTGAAATGCTTAGAAAATGTTGAGTAAAATTGGCTTTTTAATTCCATAAATTTTGAGCCCAAAGACTGAACATCGGCAGGTAAATCTAAAATAAATTGAAAGTAAAATAAATTTGAAATTTATTATTTATTTCATAATTTTAGGTATCTGACATGTGGAGGATAACAGAATTCCGATGCTATTTAATATTTTGAATTACCGAAAATACAAAAATTGCCAATATATGGGATAAAATGTAATTAAATTAGAAATAATAACCTTTCTGCGATGTTAAGGCACTAATAATTGATTGACAAAGTTTTTCAAGTGCTGGATATTCCTTTGTCAAAGCCTCTTTTTCAGATTTTGTTAAATTGCCAGATTCATTAACACACTAAATTAAAAATAAATTAAGACAATTAAAATTTCCTTACATTTTGCCATGTTTGTAAGTCAAAAAGATAAATCTGTTCAGTATTTAGAAAATCCAAAAGAACTTTTGATTTTGTGTCAGATCCATTAATTGTCTCCAATTGAGGAATAAGTGGATTTGTGAAGGCATTGCCTGCTGGATTTATTAAACTTTGATATTGCTGTTCATCTTCTTTTATGGAAGTAAGTGATTTCCTTCGATCATTTTGAATAAATCGAGAATTTAAGTTTGATACTTCATTTGCGCTTTCAGCAAAGGATGTTTGTCTAAAAATATAAAAGGGTTATGTAAGTTTGAAATAATAAATAGGACCAGAAGCCTTTCCTTTAAAAGAATTTTCCCTAAACGTGCAATCTCAAGCCAATAAAATTTTGGGGAAGGATATAAACAAGCCTAATAAATATTGAGGCCTAGTTTGTTTAAAAATTAAAAAAAAATTAAATTACCGAAGTATGGGATTAGGAGGTGGTGGTCTAGGCGGCGGCAGACTAAAAACATTATTAAACACGTTAGAATTGTTTATAGAAACATTTGAAGTCTCCCAAGGATTTGGCCAATCAGAAACATTCGAAGAAGCAAAATTGGACATAGAAGAGATTGATGTAGAGGAATTTGATGGAGGTTGGTCATAAAAAGTAATTGAATTAAAAGAATTTTCTTCATTTTTTGATGAAATTTGAGACATTTCTTTCGGACTCTCTAAGCCATCAAGGAAAATATGTAAAAAAGATTGAGGAACAATTCCAGACTGACCAGTAGTCGGATCTCTAAAAATTTATTAAAAAAGTCAATTCCGCCCTTTCTATTTCTTCCTAATTTGACGGGCAAAACAAAAATACTTATATGGCATGTTTTTGAAGGTAATTATCAAAGATAAATAAATTTTAAAACCTCTTTGGTTTAGTGGTCATAGACGAAAAAAAAATTAAGAAAGGGGAATAAAATGACAAGAGGAATATAAAGTTAAAAATATCAAAAAAATTAAAACTGACCGACACTTTGCCCATTCATTATCTATAATTGAGGAAACTTGAATACTGTCTCCAGCTTTAACAGATAATTCGTCCTCAAACCTGCCTTCAAAATCATAGAGAACAGTAGCAACACTAGAAAATTTTAAAAAATTAGTAAAAGTTCCGGCTAAACTACAGTTTCCGTACCAGGCTCAGAATTGGACGATTTATATGTCATTCGAAAGAGCTCGTCGAGCTGAGTCGAATGGCACCAAAATTTTTCAGCGGAAAAAATTCTGAGCCGAGTTACAGACCCCTAAATTTCAAAAAACCATAGGGGTTTTTTGAAAAATTTGAATTTGGGGGTGAAAAATTCGAATATGCAAATTATACCTCATTCGAAAAAGCTCATCGAGCTGAGTCGAATGACACCAAAATCAATGAAATCAGACGTCATTTGAAAAAGTTATGATCGTTTGTTTTTACCCTTTCCACAAGGTTTTCGCGGAAAAAAGTTTTTGCCGCTGCGGAGGAAGCCGGGCATGTCGAGCGGAACGACGGCCGCCGCTTCGCTACGGTCGCCGCGAGCGCAGCGAGCACGACCGCAGCGAAGCACGGCCATCGTGTAGCGAAGACCATGCCCGGCCTACCCTCCGTAGCAGCACAAAAACAGTTTTTCCAGCGAAGATTCTGTTGGTCATAACTTTCTTCAAAATCATCCAATCGAGCTGATTTTGGTGTCATTCAACTCAGCTCGTCGAGCTCTTTCGAATGAAGTATCATTTGTATTATCGAATTTTTGACCCCAAAAATCAGCTTGGTCCCCCATATGGTTTTTCGATTTTCGGGGGCCTGTAACTCGGCTCAGAATTTTTTCCGCTGAAAAATTTTGGTGTCATTCGATTCAGCTCGACGAGCTCTTTCGAATGACATATAAATCGTCCAATTCTGAGCCTGGTACGGAAACTGTAGTTAGGCCAAAGTTCCTAACATACCCAATTGAATTAGAAAAACCTTCGGAAGATAAAATAGGGTCAGATTGACTTGGCGGAAATTTTGATATCTAAAAAATATTACAAAAATAGTAAAATAAATTTTTAAACAGAAACCTCTTGTTCATTAAGAATTATTTCAACGAAACTAATTGGAAAAATTCCTTTCTGTCCAGATTTTTGTGATTCTCCACTTAACCATTCCTCGTTAATTTTCTTATCAATATAAATAAGTTCATTTGCAGTAAAGTTCAATTCACCAGGATATTCACTTCTGAAAAAGGATAACTGGAAATTTTATAAAATTTGGAATAGTAAATTTAACCTGAAGTCATATAGAGCTTTGCAATAAGGCCGGTCTTTACTCATTCTTGAAAATAAATAAAGATTAAAATAAAATAATAGAAAAATGAAAATAAAATTTTGAACAAAAGAACAGCTGAGCTGTCTTGACCAAATAAAATTCGACAAAATGATATAAATTATAACATAGTTATACGAAATGTCAACATAAAAAATGCAACAACAATTGAATTGCGGGTACGGCCCACCTTGTCGCGGGCCACCTTGTCGCGACCACCTTGTCGCGACCACTTTGTCGCAGGCCACCTTGTCGCAGGCCCACCTTGTCGCAGGCCACTTTGTCGCAAGGGTCATTTTTTAGTTCGCTAAAAACCGAAACCAAAACTGCGCAAAACTAACTAGGAGTGATGGGATCTCTTCCTCCTTGCATCTTCACACGATTTCCATCTTTTTTTTTGCTCTTTCGGCTTCCGAATTTTTAAAAGTGGGTGTTCATCAAAATTTATTAAATGGAAATATTATAACAAAAATTCAATAATCAGACTATTAAAGTGAAATGATTCATGACCAGACAGAAAAGTAAAATTCAAAATAAAAATAAAAAATTGTTAATTAATCTTGAAATTGTGTGAGATTCCTCGTAAGTATTCAACGACAGTGCCATTTCCTCTCTCATCACAACGCCAAAATATTAGATGTCCATCCGCGCTATCTCTGTCCTTCACGTAACAGTAGCCGTTGTGATTATATTTTTCGTGATTTCTATTGGAGAGCATATTGAAACTTAAAAAAACATTAGCAAACAAATAACATAATGAAACAAAATACTGAATTGAATTTTGAAGTTATAGGTTATTGAATTGTTTGGTTATTGAATTGGTTATTGATTGGTTATTGATTGGTTATTGATTATTGAATTGGTTATTGAATTGAAGAAAATTTAAGTTGAAGAAAATTGAAAACTAAAAAGAAATTTTAAAAATTAAAAAAACAAGAAAAATAAGTACTGGCCTGCGACAAGGTGGGCCTGCGACAAGGTGGGCCTGCGACAAGGTGGTCGCGACAAGGTGGTCGCGACAAGGTGGCCCGCGACAAGGAGGGCGTGTCCCTTGAATTGCGACAATTGTCGCGACAAAATGTAAAACTTCATATAGAAATCGGGAAATTTTTGGGCTTTATCTTATTTTAAATCCATTCGACCTGGCTTGAGTTTGTGCCTTGAGTCCATAAAACTCAAAAAAATCCCAACTTTGTGTGCATAAGAATCCCAGCCTTTTCCCGTTTACCCGTAATTAAAGATAAATTTTCATTCTTTTTCAGCTATATTATTCAAATTTTTTCTTACATATGGAAGAAGAATTTATTGATAGTGCTTCTGATAACCAAGCACCACTTCTCGAAATTGGTGACCAACCTTCTAGAGATTTTCTCGAATTATTTGCAAAATTGGATCCAACAATAAATGGAGAAATAATTGAAAAAGCTTGGAAACAATATGATACAATTAGTCAACAAATTATTTTAGAGGTTTTTTTTAAAATAATTTCATTAAAAAAAATAATTTTCAGGGAAGTTCTTCTGTTTGGATGGCTTGTGCTTTTTTTACTTCTGTTTGGAAATCTACTCCAATTGGCCATCAAGAATTAATTTGTCATTATTCTTTGCTTAAACTGATTGAATTATGTAAAGTCAGTGTTCTCGATTTTTTTGATAAATTAAATAAATGGGCTGATATGATATTGGCTACTCGACGTTTACTTGATTTTGTTAATCGTGTTCAATCGAATTTGGCTGTTTCCGCTGTTATTTTCAAAAAGTTTTTGCCAATCTTTCGTTATGCTTTTGCACAACAGAAGCCTTCGAGTTTGGAAAAACATTTAACGAGTGCAGAATTATTTGAATTTATTTGGCTTTTCTTTATTACTATGCGAAGTTTGTTTATTTTAGATTTTTTTGGTTTAGGAATTTTTCAATTAGAAATTTAATGATTTTGGTGTCATTCGACTCAGCTTGTCGAGCTCTTTCAAATGAGCTATAATATGGCTAAAAAATTTTTAATTCCAAAAATCACCCCTTTGGATTAACAGTTTTCAGAAGCCTATATCTCGGTCCAATCAAGTCGGATTTCGTTGATTTTGGTGTCAATCGACTCAGCTCGACGAGCTCTTTCGAATGAGCTATTATTTGCATATTCGAATTTTTCACTCCAAAAAAGTGCTTGGTCCCCCATATGGTTTTTCGTTTTTTAAGTACCTATATCTCGGCTCGTAGGAATTTCCGCAAAAAAAGAATGGTACCATTCGACTCAGCTCGCCGAGACGAATCGAATGGTATATATTTTGACCCGTTTCTGAGTGGGCCACCGGCTAAAGTATATCCAATAACCAGGCCCGTAGCCAGGATTTTTTTTCGGGGGGGGGAAGGGGGGAAAATTTTTTCTGCGCCAAATTTTTGGCGCCGAAGGCGCCAAAAATTTTTACTTTCAGCGCCGCAGGCGAAAATTTTGAGAATTTTAAAAGGCCGTAGGCCGAAAAAATTCACTTTTTCGGCGCCGCAGGCGAAAATTTTTTGAATTTTGGACCTCAAGAAGCCAGATTTCGTCCTTTTTTAGCGCCGCAGGCGAAAATTTTTTAAATTTCAGAGGCCGTAGGCCAAAAAAATTCACTTTTTTGCCCCAGCCCTTCCCCAAATTTTTTCCTTTTTCCCATTTCGGGGGGGGGGGGGGGGGGGGGGAATTCCCCCCCTCACCCCCCCCCCTGGCTACGGGCCTGCCAATAACCGGACAGACCATCTTTTTTTCTTCCCAATTTTTCCCCTTTATTTTTCTAAAATGGTTAGATTTTTCCTTTCTTCCATCCAATTTGCCTTTTTAATTTTTGCCTACAATCAAACAAAACGGGTTATTTAATTTTATAGAGAATTATTTGAGTACATGCCAAAGGCAAGTAAAAGGATGAAAAATATAGGGGAAAAATTGGGGAGGAATAAAGGATGTCTGACCGGTTTAATATGACCCTCAAATTTTAACTGATTTTTTTAGAACATTTACCACACAACAATGAAGACCTGATGAATTCTTATAATTTATTACTTTGTATTGTTGATTATATTTACCATGCAATTTCAATTTCTCGATTAAAGAATCATTTAAATGCTGATTTTGGTATTTAATTCATTAAAGAAAATTTTTTTTTAATTTTTTCTAGACAAATCTAAAGCTCCACTTGAAGTTCTTTGTGAAAAGTTTGAAGGTGCTTCTCTTGATACAAAACATTTAAGCACTCATTGGCTTAATCCAAAATTATTAAAACTTGTGGTTGAAAATTTAATTCCTTTCGATATTGTTGAGGACAAATTTAATAATTTTACTGCTATAAGGTTGATTTATTTTTATTATTTTTTATCTTTTTTTCGTTGAAGAAAAGCTTTGGAACAACTTTATGAAAGGAAAATGTCTGCACGTTCTGAAGTTGATGAGCGGATATTCTTGAAGCCCTTATTGACTTTTGGAGATATTATTTTCTCAGATAAATTTGAAGGTTTGTTTGAGAATTATCATTTTTATTTTAAAGTTTCCCCTAGATTTTTTAAGAGAATTCAATCTTTATCATTTATTTAGAGTTCAGTCGGAATTCAAAAAACATTTAAAAATATCTCTTAAAATTTTTTCTTTAGAAGATGCCATTTCTGTTTTGTCTGGAGATCTTTGCCAATATATCAATAATGATTTTTTGATCAAATTCAGCTCACAAAATTGTTTAGCCAAATTGAATGCGCCTGAAAAAATTCAACCTCCAACTGAAGGGAAATCTTATATGATTACACCTGATGTATTTGTTTTATTTTCATAAAGTTCTTTTAAATTTTATTTAGACTGTTTGTCAAAATAGTGCATTTTATTCTGATATGAAGCTAATTGAGAGGATGGATGAATTATTATCAATATTTAGAAGTCAAGGAAAATCTTTTAATTTTGATTTTGTTGACTGTCAAGGAAATCCACGTGAATATATAGCTGAACAAGGTTTTGTTTGAATATATTGCTAGATTAATTATAGACGGGGGTTCCGTAATTTTAGATGGGGTTTCCGTTAAGAAATTGGAATCTGTTAATTTTTTAATTTCTCTATCACTTCCAAATTATTATTTTTACAAATTTTTTATCAAACTGATGTTCTAAGGATGTTTTTGCATTTTCATTTAAGGGAAACTTTTTTAATTTTCTCCAAAAAAAGCCTGAATTTCTTATTCCACGATTTTCTCTTTAAAAATCACTTTTTAAGTACACATATTTGGACAGAAATTTCTTGCAAAATTCAGTAAGGAAGAGAAGGAAAGCAATGAAAGTGGATCTTCAGATCATGCTTTGAATCAAATTCAATTGGAAAAATATGCTGCCGATGTATTTTATTAAATTAAATTTATTTTTTTATTTATTTTAGATTGAAACATTATTTTATTACCTTCTTCAAAAAATCTTAATTTATGATCAACAAAAAGCTTTGGCTATGGGGTTAGAAATGAATGTTGATTTAACGGTTATTTTCTTTACAAGTTTTGTTTAAAAAATTATTTTTAAGGCAATATTACAAAGTTCAGAATTTCTTGTTTCAATTTATATTTGTGCTGCAGATTTAATTCTTTGGGTTAATGAAGACTTTCGAACATTTCGATGGATAACAGAAATATTTACTGATAATGTTGCTCCTCTTGAATTTTATCGAATTTTTGAATTAATTGTTAGGGCAGATACTTCTTTTAGTCGAGAAATGGTTAAACATTTAAATCAGGTTAATTATTTAATTTTGTTCAATAGTAAAGCTATAAAATATTTATTTGTGAAAGGGACATTTTGTTGCTTGAAATTTTTCCTTCTTTTCCCTCCGATTTATTGTTAATATTTTTGCTTTGATTGACTTGATGATCCTTTGTCATTTTTAAGTTTATCTTTTCATGGTGAAATTATGAATTTAGCGATCCACCCCTTAAACGGACCAGAGTTTAAAATATCTAAAAAATTTATAGTTTTCTTCCAATTTTATTTTTCTAATTAAAAAATTATTAAGTTAGAGGAATGTGTTTTGGAAGAACTTGTTTGGACAACAGATTCGCCTTTATGGATTGCTTTACAGAATAGTCGAATTGTTGAACAATTTGGAGAAAGTTCATCAGTTCCAAGCTCTCAAATACTTTCTAAATTTACCGGAAATTTACAACGAAATAAATCTGATTTAACTCCACAAATTATTAATTTTTTTAAAAAGGTTATTTTATTTACATAAACTTTTTCCTATGGGGATCTCAATTGGTCAAGATTTTTCTTCTCTAAAAATTTAAAAATATCTAGTCATTTTTCAGAATCTAATTTTACATAGCCTAATAATTTTCATTTTTTAAAGGTTTACCATTTGTCTGCAATTCGGCTAACAGATTTGTTTGAACGTTTACGTATTAGTGATGAATTAACTAAACGAAAAATTTGGACACTTTTTGAGCATGTTTTTCGTACAAAAATTATTTTATTAAAAGATCGACATTTGGACCAAATATTGATGTGTTGTGTTTATATTATAACAAAAGTGTGTGCTCTCAAAATAACATTTCAGGATATAATGTAAATTAAAATTTGTAAAATTAAATTCAAAAAAAATTTATTTTTAAAGATTTCATTATCGCCATCAACCACAAGCTTCGAGTAATGTTTATCGAAATGTACTTATGCGAATGGATTTTATTGACAAAAAAGAAGATAATTCTCCTGAACAAACTGAACGTGAGGATTTGATTAGGTGAATTAAAGAAATTTTTATTCCTCTTTAAAAATTAAAAAGATTGGGCGTGAATTTTTGTTTGACAAAGTCATAATTTTAGACAAAAATTAAAGTAACTTGTTCATGAAAATTAAAAACCGATAATTTCGGAAGCTGGGTTATTTTCTAAAAAATTTCTCTCAAAGTATTATTTAACGTAAATCGGAAAACTTGCCAAAATGGGTAGCGGTTAGTAACCGCATCAAACATTGCCCAACTCTATTTTTTTATTTTTTCTATTTTTAACATAAAATTCTTTTTTAAATCCAAATGTTAGATTCCGTGTCATTAATTAATCTTTCTCCCCTTCTCCTACCAAAATCGAACTTCCCTTACCTATTTCTTTAACACTAAATATATTTTCTAATCTTTTAAAGGTTTTACAATAAAATATTTGTCCCAATTGTTGAGGATTATGTTAAGAAATTATATCCATCTGGGCCAGAAAGCAAAGAAGTAAAAATAAATATTTAATTAAATTTTTAATTAAAAAATTTTTTTAGAATGTTTTCCCATTAATTTCAATGCCAAAAACTCTAGTAAATCCTCTATCACCAAGAAAAGTTATTGGAGACAGAATTAACGTTATTCCTTTATCTCAATACTCTCAAACAATTGCTAGACATCGTTCAACAAGAAGATTTGATATTTACAAGTCCCCTTCGAAGGTTTGGATATTTTTTAAAAAAATAAATTTATTTACATTTTTAGGATTTGAGAACAATTAATGCAATGGTAAATAGAGGATTGCCTACATATGGAGGGCAGAAATTAGTCTATAACTATCAATGAACGATTAACTTTTGAGAAACGTCTGCCGTTGGTAAATTATTAAAAATTTGTCTCGTGTCAATAAAAATGACAGGAAAACGTTTTTATTTTTGGAGGGGGTTTTGCTAGGGGATAATTGCTGATAAAAAATATTCATAATTAAATGCCATATTTTTCTGGATTTCTCAACGGCAGAAGCTTATATTGCATTATCCTATTTTGTATAATTTTTTAACTCATCAAAAGCCAAATAATTATTTTTTTAATTAATAATTCTCGTTTTTATGACATTTCTTGTTTACTTGTTGGTTATCTCCACATAAATTTATAATTAATTGGAAGATTGCTCCCACTATTTTGTCAATTAAAAATACCAAAAATAAATAAAATTTGGAGATAACCAACAAATACCCCTATTATTTATACCCATTTTCTTTAACAAAATCCACAAGATCTTTCACAAAATAATTTCATAAATTTAGATCCATCATCACATTCTCCATTTCTTGCCCAATAACTACAAAAATGATTTTTGTCAGTACATTTAGGTTTTGGAGAATCTAAATATTTATTTATTTTCATTTCAAAAATCATTTTTTCTAACCAATTTCTGAACGTTCTTCTCTGTCACAAAAACCACAAGATTTTCGGCAATAATGATTCATATATTTTGTTGAGTGCATACAATGCCCTAATTTTTCCCACATTTCACAATGAGCATTTAAATCAACACATTCATTGCTTATTTTCTCTTCTATTTTTGTCATTCCTTTATTTTTTCGGCCGAAAGCTAAAATGTAAATTAAAATTTTTGTCAATAAATTTTGATTAATTGAGTAATCAAAAATTAAAGCAGTTTTTGGGTTAGGATTTTTCCAATTCTTCAAAATAATAGAATGAAATTTACTGGCTAAACTTCTGGAATGACCTAATACCAAAGGGAATTTCTTCTGGAAATTGATTTTCCGGGAACTGCTGTTCCCAAGAAACTGCCCAAGAAAACTGTTTTCGACTTAGGACTTTTCAATTTGATTCTTTTTTAAACTTACACTTTCTATCCCCATCAGTTCTCCCACGTGTTGACCAAATTGAAAGTGTAATGAATTTTCTTGCTATACCACCAGGTAATAATTCAATTTCTTTAGAACGTGGTCCTTGTCTTTCTCTTGCTCCAGTTCTAATTTTTTGTTTTTCATTACTTTTTGTTTTTGTACTAATATATTCTTCTTCTGTTTCTTCATTTGTTCCTTCTGTAGTTGTTTCCTCTTCAAGTTCATCTACAGTAACTGCTGTTTCTTCACTTGTTGGAGATGTTGTTGTAGATGGTGGAGAACTTTCTGTTGTTGTTTCTGCATTTGAAATTAATTTTGGAAATGAAAAAAGTTTTGTTGAATCTACTTCCATCCCCTCCAATCCTTCCAAATTTAATTTCTACCTGTTTCATCTGTTGGCTGCTCATCACCTTCCTCTGTAGTTGTTTCTATTGTTGTTGCTTCTGTTGTTTTAGTTGTTGTTTCTGCTGTAGTAGTTTCAACTTTTTTCGCATCAGAGCATCGATAAAGTTTGTTGACCATAAACAAGAAATTTCGTTATTTTTTTAAATAAATTTTTCTAACCTTTTGTGAGTCGATCTCGCTCAATTTGTATCTACATACAAATAATTTTATTAGTAATAAACTTATTAAAAATATACCTCTGTCCAATTTCAGCGTCTCCTTTCTTCTAAAATAAAAAAATAATATTTAATGTAACTAATAATTAAATTTATTATTTAATCTAGATTGGATTTAAAGTGTATCTAGATAACAATTAACAATTATTACTAAAATAATATTAAGTATAACCAGTTAATAAATTATGAAAAGGACTGCGATTAAGTTTTGTGGATAATATTTCAAATGGGGTACGGCCCACCTTGTCGCGCGGCCACCTTGTCGCAGAGCCATAACTTCCTTCAAGTTTTCCGAATCTTACCAACTTTAGTATTAAACGATTCCTCACATCGAGCTAAAGAGATTGGTACCAAAATTGATAAGGGCCAGAAATTTTTTAGCAAGTTATGGCTCTGCGACAAGGTGGCCGCGCGACAAGGTGGGCGTGTCCCTTTCAAATGATATAACTAAAAACGTTTAAAAAATAATTTTATTTACCGGCACAATTGTTGGCCTTCCATTACGAGAGAATGCCAATTTATGATAATGCATCACAGAATCATAATCATAGGGCATAGTTAATGGATCTATAATTTTTCGGGGATATTTTTCAAAGTTTCGCAACATTCCGGGACGAATATTTTCTTCTTGTATTTCAACAAAATCGTCTCGATCAGTACGAGAATGTTCGTGGAAGAATCCAAGGGCATGCATTAACTAAAGTTTTTAAAAATATTTTTTATAATGTAGAAACTTAGAATTTGTAGATTCATTCTCAATTCGATTTATCGTCGATTTATCAATCGATGATCTATCTATCAATCGAGGCTTTCCACTGTTCTCTGATTTCTAACAGCAAATATCAAGGTATTAAATGATTTTACACTATTGTTTTACCGGAACCGAGGATCCAATTTAAGTTCCGGATCCCGGAACCAAAAAACGCCGGAACTTTCCGGAACCAGAACTGAAACTTTCGGTGAAACTCTAATATGTACGTACATTTTCTAGAGTGAATATTTGAAAAATGAAAAGTCAAAAAACACAGTTTATAATTTTTATTTCTTTCTAAATACTTTATTTTTCATCTGACTGTAATTAACCTTCTCAACAATTTTAATCAAAACAAAATTTAAAAAACCTCATGGGCAATAATTCCTTTAGAAAAGCATTTGTCTACTTCTAAAGAAACTGTTTGATTTCCCCCTGCACGGCCAACATAAGAAGAACAACTTTTTAAATAATTTAAAAATAATTTTAATTATTTTATCTAGTTACCCAAAAGCATTATTCCTCTTTATATAAATAAAATCTGGATCTGATTCTTGTCTAGGCACAAATCGAATACAAGTTTTGCCTTTATATTCATCAAAGGCACTAGCTATTGAAGCACGTTGACTTAAAAAATAAAGAATTTTGATTTATCCGTAACGTCCTATTTTTTATTAATTTTTTCCTATTTTTCATTCTTCTAATAGGTGCACGCGTGCTTCTATTTTTCGGTCCCCTCGTAGGGTGTGCTTCTATTAGAAGAAATACGCCAATTTAAAAAACTTTAGTCAAATCTCTCAATCCAAATATTTCGCCATTTTTTTATTTTACCATTCTTCTTAGAGCGGAATTTTCTATTAAAAATTCTACAGATTACATACATTTTTCCATTACAGGGTGACCCAAAAGAAACCGGCCAAGCTATTTTTGGCATAACTTTATTTAAATTAAAGATAATGAGATCAAATAAAGATGAAATTATAGAGAATTAAATGGAGAATAAGATATAAAAAGCTTTTAGAATTATTCCTATTCTACTTTGAGGTAAGGTTAAAGGAATGTGAGAAAAATTATTGCTCCAGGTCGCACCTTTTTTGAGGCATTTTGCCTATAACATTAGAACAGATTGCAGGAATTACACAAAATTTTTTTGGCATGTAGAGCAGTCTTTTATCTATAGAAATTATAAAGCAAAAAATTTTTTAGACTAATGCTTAAAGAGATATTCAATTGCGCGTAACCCTCCCAAAATGAGAAAATCGGATTCCCCCCAAAACTGATTTACATCTACTCAGAGCCATCCATGTAGGAGTTTGGATTTTTATCTTTCAGATTTGTCCGGTTCGCTAATGATCTTAATTAAATTCTGGGGGAAAAATTTTGATATGGTGCACCTAAAATTACGTAACTTTCTTAATCCTTAATCAAAAAATCTAATTTTACTATATGATAGAGAAATGAATGAGCTACAAAATAAACTTGGAATTATCTAAAAATGATATGAACAAAAAAAGTTATAAAGGATATAAAAGTGTCTGGTTTCTTTTGGGTCACCCTGTAAATAAAAATCACGTAACTTAAAATCCTTAATTTAATTAAAAAAACACACGTTGGACTCATTCCCTGTTCAAGTACATAAGGAACTTTAGCATCTGCCCAAAGTTTGTCTGCATAAGTTTGGGTATTTAAAGCACTGTAATACTATTTTTAAAAAAATAATTAATAATTCATGGAAATATTTTTTTAATTTACTGGAGTTCCAAACAAAGCTTTTTCTTCATCATTTCCATTTTTTATTAAATCAGAATTAAAAATTCTTTCCTCATTTAGTAATCCTCCACTAACTGGGTCAATACCCAAAATATCCCCTTTAAAGTTTTGTTTCTTTAAAATTTTATTTTAAAATTACCTTCAAATAATTCTTTATTTAAAATAGCATCTAATTCATAGGCATTCGGCTTTTTTACTTAAAAAAGTAAAAAAAAAGTTGAGGAATTTCTATAGTTTAATTTAATTTAAATTTAATCTCACTATAATTATTTAACTAAAGAGACGTTGATTAAATAAGGGTTATCATTTAGACAGCTTCCCTCCTTCCCAAACAAAATAAAAATTTTATTTTAAATCGAGGAATACCTAATTTTGGGAGTTTCCGAAAGGGAGGAGGGATTGAATTTAATATTCTTAGAAAGACTTATCTTATAAATTTTTGTCAAAATTCTATCAGAATTAACTCACTCGGTGTTTTAGATGCTAACTCAAAGTCTTCAGGTAAAAGATATTGTTCGGCGAAACCTTTTTTGAAATTTTTAAAATTATTTTCAATTTTCTATATTTAAAATTATAAATTAAATTTTGAAAAAACTAGTAATTGTGTTAATCCCCTTATTATTTTTTTGGAAGTAGAGATTTTCAGAGTCTCATAGGCATTTTACTTTAATGTCTCCGACAGCTTAATTCTCTATCGACATTTTAATGCTTATTCAATTAAACCACAAGGACAGAAGTTTAAAAATCTAAAGGCCCTAACTCCGAAGGGAAAATTTAAAAAAAAATCCCTAAAAACTAACTATCATATTCTTGTCTTTGAATATTATAAAGCCTTAATTCTGGCATTGAAATACTACTGGCAGACAAAATTTGTTGTAAAATTGAAGAAAAAATGGTTAAAATAACGTAAAATTTTTTAGAATAATTTAAAGAGAAGAGGACCCGTTGAATTAAATTTTGTAAATAAATGAATTTGGAGGACATTCCCAACTAAAATAAAAAAAAGTTTAAAACTTTTGGGAAATTATTTTGAGTAATTAAATACGTAGTCTTTCCCCTTATTTGAGTTAAGATATTTCGTTCGTCTAATAATCTGATAGAAATTTTCCTTATACATTAAATCTTGTAAGATGGAACGTTTGGAGGAAATGGGAATATTTCTGCTGAGTTTGGCTGGACTTTTATTTTGTAAAATTGTTTCTGATAAGATGAGATCAAAAATAATTAAGTTACCTAGCTTAATTTAGAATGTTAAGTAAAATCCAGGCTTGGTAATGGATACGGATATGGATACAGATGAGCTTAAAATGCCTGCAGATATCCGTCTGTATTCGCTGTAAATATTCGGATACGGATACCAAAATCCATGTCCATTACCAAGTCTGGTAAAATTTAAAAACGAAAAATAAATAAAAAAATTTAATTAGACTAAAATGATAGCTGCCGACTAAGAATTAGAAAATTTTTAAAAGTTACTATGTATATTGTTAATTTTTTAAAGATTTTTGAAAAAAAGAAAATATTTCAATTAATTATTGAAGGAATTATTTTTAGTTAAAATTATTTTCCTCAATTGACCATCGAAAGAGAAAGTATTTTTCCTTTCATTCATTTCTTGCTTTAAAAATCTCTTGCGCATTTTATAAAAAAATTAACAAAAGATTACAAATAAATAAATATTTAAAAATAGTCCCAGTCAATTCCTTCTCTCTTTTTTTCAAATAACAAAAGAAAGGAAAGGGCGCAGAGGAAGGGATAGCTTGACCACCTTTCGGGAACAAAAATAGATTTTGTATATTTTTGAGAGAAAAATGTCCTTAGATTTTGAGGGAAAATTTTCTTTGACTAAAAATTAACGAAAAATAAATAAATTTTTGCTGGGATAATTTTAACTAGTTACTAATTATTTTATTTTTAAATATGTTAAAGTGAAAAGACTAGAAGTTTAAAGGGAAATTGTACAAAATAAAATTTAAATTTTATAAAACGATCTTTAATAATTTCTACTTTTAAAAGAATTACTTTGAGAGAGAGAGAGAAAAATATGACAAAAATTTTGATTATCGAAAGTTTTAGCGATCTTAATTCTCATATGACCCTCCGTCCGGTCTCTAATCTTAACTAGAGCTGTTTCGAAATTTCGATTTTAGACTTAGGGTATTTTCCTTTTGATTTCAAATTTTTAAGATTTTTTGTTTCGAACCGCTCTAGTTGGAATCAAAATAATTTTTTTATAAAACTTTTAAATTAATTTATCCCCAGTTTTATTCAATAATTATTTTATTTAAATCTCAAAAATTTATTTTTTAATTTCAAAGCTATAAATAATCTTTACAAATTTTTTTACATATTCTTCTCCTTTTTTAACTTTTTTGCCAACATCCAAGCATATACAAATGCTCTCCATTTTCCAATTTTTCCCTATTTGGGGCAAAAACTTTTCTAAAATTATTTCCAAATATTTTAATCCAAAAGGGGGCCTAAATAATTTTTTTAAAAATTAAAAGAATTTTTCAATTTTAAACAAACCCTTTCCAATAACAATTCATATCTTGAAGAAGTCTTTTTAATTCCTCGAAGAATTTGTTTATTTATTTTTGTTAGAGGAGAAATTAATTTTAATTTTGAATTTTCTGCATATTCTAATGTTAATTTTAACTTTAAATTAATTTAAAATTAATTTAAAAAAATAAAAAAATCTTCTCACTCCTTTGGATGTTCTAATGTCTGTCCAACATAAATAACCTCCTTTTTTGAGAACTCTAAAATTTTTATGATTAAGAATACTGTTAGGAGAGTACATATATACACATTAATTATCTCATTCAATTTATTTACTTCCTTCCCAATAGGTAAAACCCTTTTTAAATCCTTTAAAGGGATTAGAGTAACACTTGATCTAAAAAAGTTTCTTGATCTAAGACAACAAGGAATGTGCCGCCCTGCGTCACGATTCCAGAAATCTACTATTAATGTCAGCAAAATAAGCTTTTATGTCACTTACTTCCTCAAGTCCATAAAATCAGTCCTTAAAATAAATTTAAAAATTTACCGGCTAACTTCATGAAAGAATTCCATTTCTCCTTCCCCATAACAATGGCTACTTTCCACGTTAATTATTATATCAAAAGAACAATCAGCAAAAGGCAATTTTTCTGCCATACCAGAAATAACATTAATACCCAAAGAAAGACTGTCAGAAGGTGGTGGATGTCTGTCCAATCCATAAAGAGAACCGATCTCTGGGTGCGCTCTGTAAAAGGATATTATTGACTTTTGAATTATAATTAAAAATAAAAAGTAAGAATAAATGGGCCTGCGTAGTCCGGGAAATCTTAAGAGGTCTAACCATACAATTCCACCATCCTTTTTTAAGAAAACTTTCTAGTTCCCATTCAGACTATTAAAATTGTCAATTAGTTGGAATTGCCACTTATTAACTTATTTATATATAAGTATATTATATATTATACCACTTATTAACCACTTATTACATTTTTTCAGAAAAAAATTCACAAATCATCCTACTTACACTTTTATCCAATTCAATCCACCACCAGGACCACATCCAACTTCTAAAAGTTTTAAACCCTTCAATGATTCATATAAAGGACATTGAGCTAATGTTATCTCATAAAGTAAACAATGAGCATGTAAAGCATCTCCTTCTATTCCTTTTGGGAAATTTCCAACTGATTGGACTAATTTTGTTAGAGAATTAGGTTGTGAACTGAAATATACATAGTTTTTATTTTTTTAAAAACTTAAAAGTAAATAAAATCTCTGCCTTTTTCCTATACTAAATTGGGTGAGGCTGAATAAATTGAGGGATTTTAAATTAATGTGTTAAGCCTCTGATTTTATTTAGGGATATTATGATTGTAATAAATTGAAGGAATAATGTAGGAAAAACAACTAGTAATGATTTTCTATTAAAGTTTCTAAGCAATTAATTTTTTAATAATATTGTTAGCAAAATTTTGAGATGGAAAAATCTACTATTCTATCTCGTAAAATATATTTCAGTTTGCTATCATACTAACTTTAATTTACTTGCTAAATATCAGTAAAGCAGTTGGGCTATAGCTATTTCCCTCCTCTAGCTAGTGCATAGGGTTAATCGGCGGCTCTGAGCGAACCAGCATCTCACTAGACCACGCCGCCTATTGCACAGCCTTAGGAAGCTACATATATGCTTTAAATATCCAAACTTTTTGAGAACGGAGAGATTAAACAAAAATAAAATCTTTTACAATTTATTATTATTATTTTCATCCTCATCCTCAACATAACCATGATTCAAAAAATAAATATCAAAAATTCCTTCTTTTTGTAAAAGTCCAAGTAGTGGATAAAGCAATAAATTATTAAATAAATTAATCCACAAAGAATAAATTAATTTAAAAATTTTCTTAAAATAAATAAATAAGCTCATTTAATTGAAAAAAAATAATTTCTTTTTGTAAAGAAGTTGTGATGGAAATTTGATTAAAAATAAAAATGACGATTTTTTGTTGCGGTGATTTTATATTTAATTTATATGTATTTATTGATGTAAAAAATGAATCGGAATTTATTGAAGAAATTGGGAGAGAGAGTAAAGAATTAATTAATTTTTTTTTGAAAATTTTTTTTCAGAAAGGAAAATGTAATTTAAAATTAGGTAATTTTAAATTATATATTTATATTTGACTATCTTGTTCCTCTCCATTTTTGGATTTGTAATTTGATTCAAAAATAGATTAATTCAGGAAATATTTCCATTCTCTCGATCAATTTATGTACCTAATTAAATACGAGAGTTTTGAAACTTAGAACATGAAGAAGGAAAATTTATTTTTAGTAAACGCCCTTTCACATAAACCTTATGATTAAATTAATTTCTAATAAATTAATAAAATAATATTTTTTTCTCAATTAATGAAAATATTTTAATTATTCGCAATATTGTTTTTTTAATCATAAATTGCTAAAAATATTTTCTAATTACGTAAGTTATGGGGAGAGAGAGAGAGGGAAAATTGAAATTAGAAATACAAAATCTAAACACCTTCAAATATTTGAATACCTTAAATTAGACCCCAGATCCCCAAATCTATAAGATGGGGCACTTTTGGTCATCTTTTTCCTTTATTTTTCCATTTAAGTACTTTTACTTTATTTACAAATGTCCTTCCGTTATTTTTTTTTATTTTTTTATTTATTTTTTGTAAAATAAATATGTATTTGTTTCCTTGACAACATAAAAATAAATATTTTTATTTCTTAAGGAAAGTGTCTAAATATATTTAAAAACATTTAGCTTAAAATATTATAAAAAATCCACCAATATTTTTTTTCAATAGAATTTAATATTTTAAATAAATTGGTATGCTTGTTCCGTTCATTTTCCTTTTATTTTTTTTTAAATTTTCAATCACGCAATATGCATGAATGAAGCCAATTTTTTGCCTAAATATTTCATTAAAAAAGATATTAATTTATGTATATTCTGTATTTTACTTTAAATTCGTTAAAAAGAAGCCTATAATTTCATAGGAATATTTCTAAAATATTTTGGTAATGGGGTATTTCTTAAAATATTATCTAAGTATATTTGTAAATTTATAATTTTAATACCTTATGTGTTGGAATTTCAATTGTATGGGCTTTGGCGATGCTCGGGTATCCCGATCCCGACTCCCGTTTCCCGGGGGTTTTTCTTCTCCCGAGCATTACTTATAAGCTTACTTTAATATATTTTGGTATTTATCAAAACAAAAAATGCAGTCTTACTTTTATCAAATAGCTTTGATAGAAGAAATTAAAATCTTTATGATAAAATAATCAAAAATCGACCGCTAACAATTTTTTTGGAATAATAAATCGAAAAATGTATTTTTCAATATTAGTATAGCTTCTTTAAAAGTTTAAAATATTTATTAGAATTTTAAAAAAGTTTAAGAAAATACATAAATATGGGTGAAAAATTCATCAATGGAAAGAAAACTATTTTTTATTCTCCATTTCCCCCAATTAAACAACAAAATCAAAAGACTAATTTAGCCTTACAAAAAATAAATAATTCAAAACAAACCTACAAAAAACACGTTTTAAAATCTAATATTTTTTCTCAATCTCCAACATCTTCTAATGGACGTTGGCCAAATTTACTGAATAATAAAAGAAATGATGGACCTCCCCCTATAAGGTTTGGATGATTTTTTATTGATAAATTATTCAATGCTATTTTCAATGTTAAAATACCGTAAATTCTCTAAAATAAGCCCCGGGGCTTATTTTTTTCGATCGACCTCAAAAGGGGGCTTATTTTGGAGGGGGGCTATTTCAGAGGATTTACGGTATTTTATTTCCACGTTCTATTCCCATTAAATGTTAAAGGAAATATTTAATAAAATTTAAATGAAAATATTAATTTTAAATTATTATTCAATTTTCTGATAAATCTCATAATTTTGTGTCAGTTAACAAGCTATTTTTCCACTATCATCTTTCAAAAGATCGCTGTCTCATATGCTAATCATTAAGAATAAGTGTAGGGTTAAAATGTTTTGAATATATAATTTCATAAAGAGAGAGACTAATCCAAAGGATTTAGATAATATTTTTTAATAAAAATTAATTAAAGATTGTCTGATTCAAATCCAACTCCTAAACAATTAGAATGGCAAAAACAAAGACGTGTCCAAACCCGACAGTCTGCCATGAATTACGGTGGTAGCTTAGGAGGACCAAAAATTGTACAAAAACATGCTGAAATGCGTGCCTATTTATTGCATTGTCAAAGGGTTTGACCAATTATAAATTTTTCGAAATAATTTTAAAAAATAATTTTTTAAAGGTGCTAACAGCTCGTTCCAGGTATTCTAAAAATATTTCTAAAAATTCCCTAAATTTTTTTTTCGAAAAGATTGGACACCGGCAGATGCCGTCAACAATCTATTGGGCATTCAATAACCTCTTCTTCAATAACAACATCCCCGTCAATGGATGGAAGTTGGCCCACAACAATTGAAGGATTAACTGTGGGAATTAAAGGAATGAGGGCTAGTTCAGTTCCTACAAAAAGGCGAATAATGACGGTAAATAAATTAATTAAAGGGGGATAATTAATTGAGGATTTCCTCTTATTTTATTTTTGTGCTGACAGATTTCTCCAATAGATAAATAAAAATTTTTTTGGTTTTATGGCGAAAAAATCCAAACCCGTTAATGAAGAGATAGCAAAAAATCATAAATTGATAGCCATCCTCGTATAGTTTAAGTTTTTCCTACCTCGAATTACCTTTCTTTCATTTAAAATCCCTTTTAAAAACCAAAAAATTCTTTTTAATTTTAGGATGCTGAAAAACAACTTAGAGATGAAAATAAAAGGCTTTTAGAGCGTCTAGTCCAAATAAGTACTCGCTCAACATCTTCAAAACCAAAACTAAATGGATTAACAAAAGAGAACGAAAGAATTAAAAGAACACTTTCAGCATCTTTAAAAAATTCTAGAATAAAAGAAAATGACGAAAGAAAAATGTCTGATAATTCTATTATTTTTCAAATTAACCAAATTAAAAACACAACTAAATAATTGCTAAAATAATTTTTGAAAATTTATAAATATTTCTAAAAAGGAAAAGAAAAAAATTAAAATTTTAAATATATAAAATCCAAAACAGCTTAATTAAATGACAAAAATAAACGTTTTTTGAATTTTTATAATGGCTATAAACTGATATGGTGATTGGTAAAGATCGGACAAATGACTGATCTTTAGTAATTGTTACTCAATTGCCGCTTCTTAGAATGCCACGATAGTCTAATTTTAAAAGGAAAGAACAAAATAAGAAAGTTGTCGCTAATTAGGATATCTAATAAATTATCCTGGGTGATTTTATATAAACTTTTCAGTTATAAATTAGGTAAGTTAACTTTTAGTATTATTGAGAAAATTGAAAAAAAATTGAGAGAGCTCTTTTAAAAATAATTTTTTACTCTCTAGTATTATTTCATCCAAATTTTATTTTGTTGAATATCGGGAAAACTAAAATAATATCGACCACACACTAACTATTATTAAATAAATCTTTTCAATCCCTTAACCCGATCATCTCTTTCTATTCAATTCTATTCAATATATTCTTGCTCAATTATTTTATTTAGAACATTTATTT